CTATGTTCAAACTTGTCAAAACAAATTCCAAAATATTCAATTTTTTAGTTGATAAAAAAACCATGGCTAGTTTAGATTCCATAGCTAAACCTGCTCTGTAATACGATCTTTTTGCATTGCATTGTTGCATAGATCAAAATCATTGCGAACCAAAGATTGATTTGAAATTCTTTCATACTTTATAGTTTTAAAAATTAGTTTTAACGGGATAAAAAAAACCGGTAAATCATTTAAAAAAAACAAATCTAGAGTTGAAAACTGTTTAAAAAACCTTTCTTCAGTATTTCTTCTGTCAGGAAAATTTTAAACTAAAAATGTTTTTTTTATTAATACTCTTCAGGCAGTATGTCGGATGAATACTATTTTGTCGGTTAATTTTTTTTTCTTTTTATTCGTGTACAAACGTTTCTAGGCACGGTTCCAATTCGAACGTTAGTACAAAACAATGCCCAAATTTTTATTTTTTATGTTTTTTATTTATTGGATGGTAAGCTGATAGCTTATGGCAAACTGTCTTCGGAAACCACAAAAAAATAGGCGTATCTTACGACGACAAATCATTTAGAAATTGATAATAATGTATCTTTTACATAATAAGGCTGGACAGCTAGTTTCTCTCATACTGGCGTACATATACTGGTATATGCTACACCAATTGCCAAACCTATCTCATCCCCTCCCAAGCTCTATGGGAGGCACCCATAGATTCAGATTATCTTGAAGTCCTTTCAGATTTATAACCGGTATGATATACACACGTCTCTGGTTAGTATCGAAAAGATGTCTTGTGCATTACTCATATAAGATATTGTGCCCGCATTTTGATTTTGTCGGTTACTACTTTTCAATAGTAACTAAAGATTAAGAGCGCTCAAGTAAATAGCGAAAACTCTTTGTTTAAACATTGCCAACAGGTGACTATTGGATATTATCATTTAACTTAGATCTGTTGATTTTCGGAAAAATGTATTAGTACATAAAAAACTTTTACTGAGTTATATAAAATATAAATCATTATAATATTATAATTCCTTATATAGCTATACATTAAGTGAAATATATGTGTAAACCAGATCGTGATTAGAGTTTTTAAAGATAAATGATTAATATTGTTAGGGTAAAACAATAGCCTCTCCAAGGTCGTCTTAAGTATAGTTTTACAGATTCAAGTAAGTAAATATTACAGTAAAACTTAGGTGACATTTAATAAATTCTATTAACATAAGTACAAACAGCTTGCTAAGATAACGTCAGGAGAAAAATTCATCACAAGCAGTTTTTAATGCGTTATCAACCAAACGATGAATGAAATTTAAATGATCTGCTAAGATGTTAGCAACAGGCAATCATACCATGGTTACACTCCTGCGTAGCCATGAGTTAAACAAATTAGGACGCCATAATGTTTGGTGTTAAAATGTTTGATCAGTTTACAGATTTGTGCAAATATTAAGTTCTAATATTGATCATGTCTGCGCGAGCTCAGATGCTAATAAGTTGCTTGACTTCTTCTATGGTTAAATAGTTTTTTTAATTATTCATTTCCTTGTGTGTACTTCTTAGTGTTATGTAACCGTATAAGTACCGAGAGGTTATTCAACGGGTCCAGTTGCTAGGAGCATCCTTAGAATACTAGAAGAAGATATAAAGTAATTACGCTTTACACAGCGAGAAGCCTTTACTTTAAATATTTCAGGAATGTTTCATCCGGTTGTTGCCTACGATTCAAATGATAATATAACCTGTTTTCCTTGTGCGTACACATTGCTACTACGAGTAACTTATGGCAGCAAGAAGAACGATTAGGATGCGTTTGCATTTCCTAATCTCCATATCTCTCTTGTACTCGTACTTTGCAAATAAATGACTAGGGTAACTAAATTAATGTACATATATGTTTTAAAATTCAATTTTCATTTTCACATACGAGTATTTTTACTTAAGCAGTATTAGTAGTTAAAAATACAGAAAATACATTATAAAATATTTGCTGCGTATGTTTCACGGCTCGAGTCACTTGGTGCCTGAGCCCTGGGTTTCAATATTCACTTTGCAAATCATGAAATGTCTGGTGTAAAAGGAGTTACGCTTGTACTATGTAACAAAATATCTTATATTCATCTCTTATCTTTTTCATACTTAAAATTTTAAGATTTCTCATATATATTATGTTATATAGTATATATTTTTATGTTTTGCACATTTCCCTTCCTTAATTCGTAGTAACTTTATAGTTGAGTGCGTATAATTAATTGTTCACTTCAGATTTCTAGTATGATAGTTGCAATTAACGCTTAGACACAACTGCAATAAATAAATTAAGTTGATTAATGGAATAGTAATCAACAAGATTTATTGATAATATCTCGTAAATTCATAGCAATGTTTATATCTACGAACAAAGTTGTTGCAGTGATCCATAAGGTCATACGTAACGACGGGTTATTGTGTAGAAAAGTAATTAACATTGACTTCAAGTTATCCACGTGCTCACGCAAATGTAGTGTGGAACAAAGAGCCGTAAAATAACGCACACAATAATGATTATATGAATGCTTTTTGATCTTATTATGGATGAACACGGTTCATACTCGTATAGTACTTTGTCATAAATTGCTGTGACATGAGATAACATTAATTAGTCTTTTAGTTTTATGTTCGCCTAGTACTTGCGTTTGTAGTTTTTGTATTGTCGGGTTACAATTAACACACACATTTTTTCTGAACGGATGTAATCATTACAAGCATTATCTACAAATTATATAAACGCACCTATAAAATTTAATACGAATTTGACCAATTCGTATCATATTAGTATTTGTGAAATAAGTATGACCCTCGAAGGAAGAGGGTCATACTTGTTTGAGCAATTGTTGTTTTTAGTGATATTTTTTCAAAAATGGCCTTGATGATAAACTTTTATAACAGACGCACGGAATCTAGAAAGATTAGGACACGCCAATTACAAAATTTCCTTTTATAATAATAAATATATAAAAACAAAACTCCTATCCTTAAATTGTATATTATTTTCTTGTTCCAAATAAAAATTATTAGTATTATTATTGAGATTTTAACAATAAAGAATGAGCATAAAAATATTACTGCGTCGTCCTCGAATGTTCAAAGTTGAAAAAATAATATATCACACATATCTCGTATCTGACTCTTATTACCCGTTTGGAGTTTTGCCGAGTATAGATAGATCTCTCTAGTCATAACTCCCATAAAAGGCCCTCTTTCATGGCCACTCAAATAAAATAAAAAGAGAAAAGTAGTAATAAAATGCCAAATACATCTTCATTACATCGTACATAACTGTAAAAAGTGACGTACACGGAAAATATTTTATTACGAAGTCAATATACGGAAATCAATCAACCATTTGGTTTTATTTTCGAAGAATGTAATGTATCTACTCTAAAAAGTGTCATTTTCTTAACTAGGAACGTATATAATATACATTCTTTCGGAACCTGCAATTTTTTTTATTTGCAGATCACTCCAACAAATCTTCAAAAATCTTAGTGTTTAAACAAAATAAGTAAGCACGTCATGGCGGGACATTTTGCCTAGAAAATACTTTTAAGGCAATAAAGATATACATAATCCTCTATATTTTGTAAGAATTGCTAGAACACCCGTTTGGCCAGCGTGGTATAATAGGCCAAAACCTCCTTTCTAAGGAGAGGCTTATGTCCAGCAGAGGTCTGTTGATGCTAGAACTAAGTGTGTATAAGACATTATGCATAATATACAGGCAGTTTCCAAAACAAAACAATGAATTAGCTCTATTATTAATGCTCTCATCTATTGAGCAGATTAATAAAAATATGGATTTTTCAAAAGTTTTACAAACCAATAAATTTTAACTTTAATATTACATATAAACGTAAAATGTTTATATGATGTTAGTTTCAGTAAGTGTTAATTAGATACCCCAATTTTGCTTGAAATCATTCATATTCCATTATAAAACCAATACTGCTGTGTTTAATCACTTATCTGTTAATATGTGAACATATATGCACGAGACATAAAAGTGCATACCTTGTATGTCGCAGATTCATCATGGAAGTAATATACGACTATATCGAGTAAAATTTGTAAACTTTATGAGGTTCGTGCCTAGTAGGCGACCAAGCGACCTTTATTTGAGCGCACAAACGCAAGCATACGCATCGTGTTTTCATGTCAGCTTTGGCCTTAATTGTAATTACTTACTATCAACGATCGTAAAGTTTTATGTTCAATATGTAGAATTTAATCACCATTAGTTTGTCCTGTATGTTACTTGACAATTTGTTTGTGAAATATTTTGAGATGTATATAGATGAAATAGTGTTTGCCATTGTTCCTAGCTAAATGCGAGAGTTACTACGTTCATACAAGTTATAATGGTTGTCCGACCTCGATGTGTATTGATATAAATGTGATGGTTGGATAAATAATAAATGATATTTATTTCTATAAGTTAATCTTTTCGGACAAACTACAACTATTTACTACATCATTATCTAGTGGGATCATAAATGATTGGTAACCTTAGACGAAGATTTTGTGTACATCCAAATTTGTGCATTGACAGATTTATTGAAGTGGCACTTGCCAGCTATACTGCTGGCAAGTTTTTTTGTAGTCCATTTACTCTATGCTGTACGCCGGTAATCTGCATACTGATGCATATTTAAAACAGATGTTGATATTTATCATTTTGATTTGAATCTTAATAGAAATTATAAAGTTGTTACAATGCATAGTCGTCAGTAGTTGTAAACTTTATTTCCGCAATTGAGCTTAGATATTCTCAGACCTGTAATTTTAACCTATCTACTGAATTTCAGATATACCTAATTCTATTTTCTAGTTTTGTGTTGTATAAAACAGAATATTACTTAAAAAAATATTGAAAATTGTGCCACTAGATAATAATTAGGGCAGTAAGGTAAGCACAAGCATCTCGCTATCTATTCTAAAAAGATTTTGTAATTCATTTACAGAACGGCTTCGTGGAGTGCCGTAGTGGCGTAGAAGAGTGTGGAAAGATGGACGACTGCGCAGTAGTGATGCCCAGGGAAGGTTGTTGCGCCAAGTGCAAGGGATGTTGGTATAATGGGACGGAACATGCTTCTCACACAGAATTTCATGAAGAAAATAGAGTGCTGAGATGTGAAGCTGGCGTCATCACTATTACCAAGCCTGAATGTTACGTGCCTTGTGAGAGACCAAAACATCAGAGACACACGCATTACAATTGTCCTGTTTGTGATGGTAAGTTATTTCAGACTACAAACAAAATGCGAGGTTTTACAATAATTTGCTCTAAGAAAGCTCAGCCTAAAATAGTTAGTTTTTTGTTTTTTATTTTAATTTTAAAGTAGCTACAAATTTGGTACGTTATCTACAAATATAAATATGACTTACCTAGTCGACGTTAGTAGAATGGACGTAGACAGACTAAGTGTTAAGTAAGCTTTGGCCAAGAGTTGAGAGGCCATTTGAGGGTATTTTTTAGTTACTTATGATTATTTTATTACCAACATCTATTACTTATTTTATAGTTTCTAGATTTTGTATGGTATTTTGGTTTTTATTTATTAAAATAAAAGTAAATTATAAATTACTATTTTTAGACATAACAACTACTGCGATTAACTACTTACAGTTATAGTCTTGAAAACTTACATTTATTTATTTATGGTTTCCTTATAATAAAATTCGTATGTGTTGAAACTCGATTCATATAAATAGATTAAATAAAAGAATAAAGATAAAGAAATACTCAAACAATTTTACACGCTATCTTTTCCCACCACCATTTACGAGTATCTACTCACATAATTGGTGAGCGGGTCGGGTCTGCGCTGGCGCAGCCGTGTCTCGGAGTGCGCCCACCCAGACGCGCACAAAGCAAAAAAACAACCACCACAATCCCATACAAAAACAAACACAGGCCGAGACGCGAACTTAATAAAACCATAACGGCAAGCAATTTACCTGTGCTTCCAAACCTTAACAAGTTTATTAAATTCCTTAACAAATAATAGTAATTTACAAGATGACGACTCGATATAGCTTTTGAATAACGCCGACAAATTCCGAATTATAGTTTTATTGCCTATGATTAAGTATATTTTATTAATTACTTACTTGCATGGTAACATAAGCGGGGAGATCAAGGAATCATCGGACATTGCTTTGTGCGTAGAAAATACAGAAATTAATAAGGCGTTAATTCGTCTGTACATCGAGGCATCTTTCGTGTGTATGCTTAGTAGTAGTAGTCGCCCACACACCGCATGTTGTCAAGCGACCGCAGTAAATGTAACACGCAACGTGACATAGCAACGTGATAGACAATGGAGCACTACCATAATTCAAATCCCGTATATTGCTCCATACCGAGTTAGCGATGAATATTACGACAATAGAATAATTTAGTTATCCACTGAATGAAATTCAATATTTTACACATTGAAGGTTACACAATTATTTGCTATTTAATAAACCGCCTATAAAGTAATGAGATGCGGTGTATACATAAAGGTGGCGCCAATGTGTAATTACTCTGGACGAAGATGCTAAATAAATAACAAAAGCCGTAAAGTCTTCGGGGTATAAAATTGTCGATGAAGCACGAACTTGTATTGTAGAAAGTTGAAGGATAACAACTTTAGTAGTAATTAAAATGGATAATCATTTTTGGAAATGTATTGTGGAAATTAATGGATTAGCTGGATTAATTGTAGTTGGGTTTTTTTTTTTTTGCAAAGAGGACCACCCGGGAGACATTGCCAAAGAAACGCACCTCTATGTGTACACTCTATTACCAGAGACAAAGAAATTGACAACGAACGAAATAAGGTCTTATTATAGACGGCGGGGTTCGTTAAATTATATATCTGGTGGTCTGGGAGTCTCCCACGGCGTTACGTCTCTATTATTGTCCATAAATCAAAAAGTTAACAACCTACTTAAAAGGTTGGGGCGGTGAGTTTTTGTGCGGTGGTCAAAGCACCGCCGCCGCGGCTGCGGGGCCTCGACGTGTGCCCTCTGTTTATTTGTTTTACGATCCCAACAGTGCATTATATTTTTTTTATTTCAATTTGTTAATTCTTCATAATTCTTGCCTTATCAACATGGCAATTCTTTTTATTTATTTGAAGTGAAAAACAGCTATTGGTAGGAGCGGCGATTCCTAAATGTGTTAGGAATAAAAAAATATCAGACAATTTCAACATTTCTAAGCATTCGCAAACAACTTCATGTTGTACACCTTGCCTATAAAGAACAGGGAGGGTCCACAAGTATGGGTTTTAGGGAAACAGTATTTTCTTTCTCGATAAAACAGGTATCTTATTTTCTGAGATTTAGTATGAGATTTGGTATTTTGTAGGGCCGTGGAAACTTTACAGGAGATTGCGATCACTTAATTTTTTTCTCTATCTGCTCCAATCATATATGCACATAAAGGAGTATAGTAGAAGTTTATGGGCTAAGTAAACACATCTACATTACAATAAGTAATCTAAATTCAAGTGTTGTTTTTAACATGACCGCGTATTATCTGAGAAATTGAAATAATTATCTATGATATACTATTGAGGCGCGTCGTGAATCTGTAATAGGTTTTATGGTCGTATTATAGAGCTTTAAGACGAATTTCGGAGTAATATATTTTATTCTTGCTAAGTGCATGGGCGTTTCCGCTTAATATTCATGTCCTCACTTCGTAAAGTAGTACATGTTTGGGTTTAAGGAATTGTTTTTCTTTTATTTTAACGCAAGCACACTTAAATTTTACTTATCTATCTATATTTACTTAGAAGAAGGCTTTATCTTTACTGACTGAATGAATCAACGCACAATCTAGACGATTGTTGCATTTGTGAATTTGATCTATCCTTTGCATGACGTAGGAATCAGATAAGAAAGTTCTTTTATTGGAAATTCATAAGCAAAGAGGTCAAAATAGGACAACAATTTTGCAAAATACTTCGTAATTTTTGTTAGACTTTAATGGTTGATTTTGAAGTCATGTCAATTCGGGGCTAATTTTTGCACCTCAGATCTCATATTAAATATTTGCCGATCTATTTACCACGCTAATTCGGTGAAGATGTGATGTAGAACTTGGCATTCAGAGAAAGAAACACTTTAACGAACGGACATTACGTGCAATGTTTATGGGTTGGAAACTTTGGTCACCTTACTGGAGCTCGCGGTGAAGTTGTATGTCAGAATAGAACCGATTATAACCACACCGTGTTCCGTCACAGGAAAGATAATCCAACAGATCTTGATCCGCCTCTTAGACACTAAAGCCAAAATCTTATTCAATGCGTATGAGGGACCTGTGACCTCTTTCCATAAGACAAGTGCACTGCTAAGGTAAAGTGGTTGGTGCCTTTTAGAAGAGTACTACCCCTCTCCTCCTCCTTTTGCATCGCCTCATTAGCGGCTTTCAACTGTTTAAAGACGATGAAGAAGACGAAACAGCAGCATTCTAATGTTCTATTCGTCCTATCCTCCATGACGGTCTTACCGCCACCGTTGTGGTGTGATAGTAATTGAGGAGGGAAATCCACTGCACCCTCATTCCTAGATAAAGAGCTATATATAAATCAGTACTTTATCGCGGTCATCTTTATTAAATAAGATACTTTTAAACTCACTCACTCACTGAGTATGTAACTCACATTGATTGGATTGGTCAACTGCAGTTTTTTTAATAAAGGAAAGTATTAAACTGAAAGTGCATAAATAGATAGGTACATTAAAAAAAAACTTAATTGAAAAACTGAATCAAGTGAATTTAATACAAGAGCACGTGTTGAGGGTATTCGTATGAAAAAGAACATTGCACATATAAGCGACCGGACTGATGATGAATACATAATTGTTTGTCTACAAAAGGACAACCTGCTTTGTGTAATCTTCTCTGGTTTTACGACAGACATTTGACCGTTTTCTTTGTCACAATTATGCCTCGTCCTAGTCTGGCAGTCCCCTTGAACCACGGGCGGTAAATGGCCGTAGTAAAGCATTATTAATGTAACATTACCACAAAATATTCTATTTGTACACTGAAGCTTTAAACACTTTATCATTTGAAGTGATGTGGCGAGTACAATGCAGACTGTCAAAGCATTCCGTTGTTTTGTATGTATAGAATAATCTATGCTCAAGAGCAGCCATTGGAATACTCAACTGGTTTATACATTCTAATCGTATATTCTAAAGTCGTGTTATTGTATTCCACTCAGATATAAATGAATAGTAAATATGGCATCATGTTCTATTATGACGAGTATTACGACATGAAGTACAAGTAGAATCCTCGAGCTTAAGCGTTGTGGAATGAAATGCCAGTCCTAAATATATTTAGAATTGAATGATTAGTATTGTCTCTGTTGAAGTGCGGTTAGCTGTACCTCAGACGCAAAATACGGGGCAGGTACAGGTGGCGAAGGCTGTTGCGCAACGGTGGGCTAGCGCGGGCGCCGTGTGCGGCCCTCCACGCTACGTCATTCATTATGCCTCTGATTGATTCATCGTCTACCCGGACTAATTTATGGAGTTTGCGCTTTGCCGCAGTCACTGTGCCGCCAGAGGTCCCTTCCCATTTAGCGAACAATGGCTCTGATTTTTGTTTTGAGCTTTTACTAATCTAGCGAGTGTATTGCCCTAAATGGAGTCGATTTTGTATTCAAATTCATTTATTTGTTTTGGGAGCGAAGGGACTCTGGACATACAACGTTGCCATAAATTAATGTAAATGAATTACTGAAAACAACTCTAATCACCTACTATGCTATTATGTTTGGCTTAAGGAATTAATTGTATTTTAGCAATTTAGTTTAATAATAATCAGTTGGTTTTTTGTTAAATGTTGCACATTAACTAGTTGTCTAGTTTAATAGAAACTCAGGTTTTTAATATTAACTTTAAAACGTATTAATAAGATAAACATTATTTGATAGGAACGTTGGTTTTTCTAAAAAGTTACATCTGAAAAAACTAAGAAGTGATTAGAATAGAACAATTAAACATACTGCCATTGTGACCTACATACATATATCCAATGTATATACCTATTTTCATATAGTACCAGGTTAATAAGTAGAGCCTTTTTTTCATGGTATAAAGGAGCAAACGAGCAGACAGGTCACCTGATGGTAAGCAACTACCGCCGCCCATGGACACCTGCAACTCAAAAGTCACAAGTGCGTTGCTGCTCTTGGAGTCCCTCCCGCTCGAGTCAAGTAATGATCAGATAATAGAAACTTCGAACATATTTAGTGATTGTATTGTATTGTATCTATAAGGAATCACTTGCTGCTGAGCCTTTTAAAGGGAATTTATAAGAAAATGCGAATGAAATATGTAGTAAGTACTACCGTATTTATTACTGAAATGTTAAACAATTTTACTACAAAAAAGTTGTTAATTGTTAATCGTTTCTGACAGTGCAATGAGTAGTCAAGTAGTGAATAAAAATATATTGCGAAGCCAATTATAAATAACAGTAGATTTTATTTAAACTAATTTCTTACTTTTTAATGTATAAAATTAAAACATTTAATAGTATTTTTTGTTAAAAATACTAAATTTTGTACATAAATTTTATTTCATATATGAAACTTACATAAATCATTATTAAATTAATAACCAAGGCGACTCAAGTGACGAATCTACTGTGTATTATTTTTCGTTTCTTCATTAGTCATATAAACATTTTGAAATGTATTGCAAATACATATAATTAAGTAACTGTAAATTTATTTAAAAAGCGTTATATATTTATAAATAGTAAAGAGCAATATTTGAATAGGCAGCAGAAATATTTGTTCACATCACTGTGTATAATAGAATTTAACTATTTTATTTCGTACAACAAATATCAGCGGCTGAAGAACTTTCTGCCAATAAAAACTAAGGTAATGCTTTCCCAGACTATGGTGATGTGTGCTACTTTGACCTGAATGCAGATCTGCTCAATTTACGCAAATATCTCTTGAACTCCTTATCAGATCTACCTTAATACCTCTCTCTTCTAGAATTTATCTAGAATCTGTATATATATATATATATGTATGTATTATAAATACTTAAGTATTGTGTGTATTAGTATTATTATTACTGATTGCATGTGTATATTTTTTATTAAAATAAATTATATTGTAATTTATTTAAGTACCCTGGGTATATGATATTCTATTTATGCTATACTTTTCATAAACTCACGTTTTTAATTACTGTGCATCTACCATTTTTAGCTCTGCATCACCCTAACATTGACTGGAAGAAAATGCCTACTTCAGTCCGCCTTTGTCACATTTGTGCATAAAGTATAAATTAACAAAAAGCGGCCAAGTGCGAGTCGGACTCGCCCATGAAGGGTTCCGTAGCAGCAAGTAACATAATATAAAAGTTCTTGAACCTGCCCCTCGAACGCTCCGCGCCCGCTACCGATCAAGCCACGCCTCGTGCGAATTATAATTATTATTTACTTAGGCACCTATTACAGATTTATTATTAAAAATAATTGTTCACGGTTTATACATAAGGTTTATGTTTATGAAATTAAATGTTTTTTTTTTACATTTGAGTTGATTGAATGAAAGGTAAATTGCGGTTTACAATTTATGACGTATTAAAAAAAATCTACTTACTAGATCTCGTTCGAATTCTCGTTCGAAAAAATCTATTAACTGAACATTAAATTCACACATTAATATTCAAGAAGAGTGCGATAATTGAGTTTTATAATTTAACATTATTATTTCTTTACATTTCAGAATGCGTAATCAACGGCCAGCGGGTATGGGAGGGTCGTGACGTGAGAATTCCTGAAGAACCTTGCTTGTCGTGCCGCTGCGTGCACGGCGCGTTGTCTTGTGCCAAACGCGCCTGCCCAGTGCTACCGTGTACCCGCTCGAATCAGTATACACCTCCCGGTGACTGCTGCCCCAGGTGTATACATGCTACGTCTGATAAATTGTTACCTGGTACGTTTTGTGTTACTTTTCCAAAAATCATTCATTTATATCGCTCAGATCAAAGGGCTACTAAGAACACGTGCGATATGCGATCTTTGAAATTTTTTACATCTTTGCAAAATAAAGCCCTACATATTTAAGCAGAGACCCCTTTGTCTGGACTATTTTTTTTTGTCATAACGATAATTTGGCATAATGAGTTAGACATTTTTTGTCATATTAATACTTTGACATAATTCATCATCATCAACAACGTTTGATGGTTCACTGCTGGACATAAGCCTCTTAGAAAGGACACTTAATTGTTTTTGGCATACTATGTCAGTAGGCATAAATTTCATTTGCCCTAATTTGATTGGCATACAGATCAAGAAGCATAATGGAAACATATTTTAGTTTACTATACGCATTTATTCTTAATTTCCATGCAAAATATAAAAATATATATGTATTGGGAAAAAAGTAGGTATTATATCCAATAAAACTTGGGTACCATAGTGTAACGATAGGTTAGGGTTCGACAACCCTATTTCTCCCCCAACCGGAGTTTGAGCGACTTCGAGGTTTTCCTCAACAACCTGGAGACCTCGATGCGGCGACTAGCGTCTGGGCACGTCCTTGTCCTGGGGGACTTTAACGCAAAATCCACTGCGTGGGGATCCCCCGGGACGGACGCAAGGGGCGAGGCCGTAGAGGAGTGGGCGGCCTCGGTGGGCCTCTGTCTTCTCAACAGAGGCTCCACCAACACGTGCGTGGAACAGCAGGGGGGGTCGATAGTGGACCTTTCGTTCGCTACCCCTGCCCTCGCCGCACGAGTAAGGAACTGGCGTGTCCTGGAAGAGGTTGAGACGCTCTCGGATCATCTCTATATCCGATTTGAGCTCTCCCGGACCCAGGACTCCAGTAGGGACAGGCGCGGAAACTCTGAAGCTGGCCATTAGCCGCGCCAAAGAAGAAAAGAGAGAGGAGATGCTGGAGGGTCTTAATCGTGACCCCTGGGGTCGCCCTTACCGCGCGGCGCGACAAAAGCTCCGCGCGTCGGGCCCCCCCCCTTACGGAGACTCTCCAGCCCAGCTTCCTGCGAGAAGTGGTTGAGGGCCTTTTCCCGCAACGAGCGGAACACACTCCCCCGGCGATGGCCTCGTTGGCCGGAGACGACGGGGAGCACGAGGAGGATGATGTTCTGCCCGTCTATGATTCGGAGGTAGGGGCGGCTGTTCTACGGATCCGTTCCAAGAACACCGCCCCTGGGCCAGACGGGGTACCGGCCCGAGTGCTGGCCCTAGCCCTCAACCACATGGCAGACCGCCTCGGGGAGGTGTTCGACGCTAGCTTGGCGTCGGGACGTTTCCCTGAGTGCTGGAAGAGCGGAAAGCTGGTCCTATTAAGGAAGCCGGGACGGCCTGCCGATTCGGTCGCGGCCTACAGGCCCATCGTGCTGCTGGACGAGGCGGGTAAATTGTTTGAGAGGGTTCTCTCTGCCCGCATCGTCCGGCACCTCTACGAGGTGGGCCCCGATCTGTCGGACGCCCAATTTGGTTTTCGGGCGGGGCGTTCGACAGTCGACGCTGTTTTGCGCCTGAGGGCCGTGACCGAAGAGGCCGTGAGCTGTGGCGGCGTGCTGTTGGCGGTGTCATTGGACATCGCCAACGCATTCAATAGTCTGCCATTCAGCTGCATCAGGGAAGCACTCCACTATCATGGGGTGCCAAAGTACCTGAGGCGGCTAGTGGCAGACTATTTAGAGGAGCGTACCGTCGTGTACGAGGACCGGGACGGTAATTTGAGGTGTCGGCCCATGTCATGCGGTGTTCCACAGGGGTCTGTTCTTGGACCCCTCTTGTGGAACATAGCGTACGACTGGGTCCTTCGAGATGATTTCCCCCCCGGGCTGGGTGCAATTTGTTACTCAGACGATACTCTGGTTACAGCCCGGGGGGCGAACTTCCAAGAGGCGGCGCGCCTGGCCACAAGGGGAGTCTCCCTGGTGGTCGCGCGCATTGAGGCGCTGGGCTTACGGGTGGCCCTAGATAAGACGGAGGCTCTGTTATTTCATGGGCCCCGTTGTCCGGTCAATGGCACCGGCAATGTATGATGCACCGGTGTGGGCGGCGGCTCTGACCGCCCAGAATAGGGCACGCCTCTGGCGCCCTCAGAGGATATTGGCGGTTAGAGCCATATGCGGTTACCGCACCGTTTTGACGGAGGCGGCGTGCGCATTGGCCGGTACTCCCCGTGGGATTTGGAGGCGGAAGTGCTCGCCGAAGTATATCGGCGGACGGCTGAGTACCAGGTGGATAGTGGAAGTCGATCCCCCCCCCGAAGAGATACGCGAGTGGCGTGAGGCCGCTCGTAGAGCCACGATGGCTCGTTAGTAGCTCGGCTGGAGGCTCCATGTGCTGGCCTTGCCACCGTGGAGGCGCTCCAGCCGGTCTTCGTAGAGTGTTTCTTTCCGGCTGACGCAGGTCCTTCCTGGGCATGGCTGCTTCGGGAAGTACCTGCACTCGGTCGCCAGGAGGGAATTGAGTCCCGCCTGTCACCACTGCGATTGCAGTGAGGACTCGGCTCAGCACACGCTGGCAATTTGCCCGGCTTGGGCGCCGCAGCGCCGGGTTCTCATTGCAGTCATAGGGGGGATCTCTCGCTGCCGGCCGTCATACGCTCCATGGCCGGTAGTGACAGATGTTTCACCGCGGTCGCATCCTTTTGCAAAGACGTCATCTCGCAGAAAGAGGGCCCGGGAGGACAACCTGCACTTGGACCCAATCCTTCGCCGTCGAACCGGGCGGCGGAGGCGCGCCTACCACCGCCTCATGCCGCCCTGAGTGTGACCGCGGGCTGACGGGACGGGTTTTCCCCTCCACCCGCCATAACGGCCAGCCGCGAGGAGGCGATGTCCGCGAGTGCCGGACGTCGCCTAAATGGAGAAGGTACCCGAAGGTGGTGCCCGCGCCGTTGCGGGCATGCGCTAGGAGGGGTCCAGATCTCCTAATAACAGCAGTTCCCGGATCCCTTCCATTACAGGCGCAGAGTGGCACACCGTGTGGTTTTAGTCGGTCCGATTCCAAAGGAAAAGGTTTATTTGTTTTACCTGTATGTATGTATGATTATATGTTATTATGCCTGAACTAGATATTTTAAGATTATAACCTTAATGGCGACTTTTTTGGAGAAAAGTGCGATGTGCGATCGGTAGGTTAATGATGTAAGGAATTCTCTGTCATCCATCAATAACATGACATAACCATCGCAACTGCCTATCAATGTATTTTGGCAGTACTGTTTAACGATATAGCGTACCTACTGCCACTTTCTTTCTTAATATTTAAATTGTTTTTGATATTTAGGTTGTTAAATACTAATACTAAATTAATAAATATAATAACTGGTACTTGATTCTACAAATATTTATATTTTTAAATAATTAATTTCAGGCACTACCCTAGCAAAACCCTGTATCATCGGCAAAGAATATCATGCACATTTGAGCCCATTTCGAGTGGATCCTTGTACGGACTGCACGTGTATGAACGGCACAGCGGTGTGTACGCGGCATACCTGTCCAGTGCTGACCTGTGGAGCTAGAGCCCTTCCACCTCAGCCCGGGAAGTGTTGTCCAGAATGTCCACAGGTTGAAGAAGCCAAAGCTGCCTGTATTATAGGCAGAAAAACTTACCAAGTAGGTGATTTTTAATACTTTATAACTAACATCACTATGTAGTAGTTAACACAGTTATTATGTGCTTTAATTTTGTTGATCAAATTTCGTACAAAATTTCTAAAGTTATAACTGTCTTATTTTATATTACTAACGAAATATAACTTATAAATATACAGGCAGTATTATAGGCAGAAAAACTTACCAAGTAGGTGATTTTCAATACTTTATAACTAACATCACTTTATGTAGTAGTTAACACAGTTATTATGTGCTTTGATTTTGTTGATCAAATTTCGTACAAAATTTCTTAAGTTTTAACTGTCTTATTTTATATTACTAACGAAATATAACTTGAACTGTCATTGTTCAAATTTTATTTACTATTATAACAAATATAATAATAAATAATATTTTCTGATAACTTTAAAACTATATAATAATTAAAACTATAACATAGTTATATTGATTAAAAATATTAGCTTAATGTACTTCAAAACACACACTTCAAAAAAATTTTAAAGTCTTATTTCTAAGTATTATTCCAATGTAATTTACCTTCACACATAAAAAGATCTTTTTATTTACGAATGATTTGTTGCTTTTTCAGGACGGAGAAACCTGGCAATTGGACGCTTGCAAATCTTGTGAATGTCACGGTGGTGAACCACGATGTGCCATGGAACGGTGTCCGGTAATCACCTGCCCACCGGACCAAACCCTGCGGCAGTTACCCGGACAATGCTGTCAAAAATGCGTTGACATTGATGGAATTTGTACGGTATTTGGTGACCCTCATTACAAAACCTTTGATGGAAAGTTTTATAGTTTCCAAGGTTCTTGTAAATACCAACTGGCATCAGATTGCGTTAATGGGAGTTTCTCGATAAGAATATCAAATGATGCAAGGAACACTTCGCATTCATCGTGGACACGAACGGCAACCCTACGTATAGGATCCACAAAAGTCAATATGGGTAAAAGAATGCGAATAAAAGTTAATGGACATAGAGTGTTATTACCACATAAGATAGAAGGAATAGCAGAAATAGTACGCAGTAACGGCTCTGTCCTATTAAAGGCTGATATTGGTATACAAATGCTTTGGGATGGTGATGGTTTTCTTGAAGTGACAGTTTCGAGTGTATATAAAGGAAAATTGTGCGGGTTGTGTGGTAATTTTAATTCTGTAGCCAGGGACGATATGAAAACTCGTGATGGTAGGCTACTGAATGATACTTGGAAATTTGGATCCTCGTGGCGAGTAGGCGGTACTAGGGCTTGTACGAGGCGTCAAAAACGAATAGACATAAAAGCTCCATATCGACAACCGAAGGTTTTGAAAGCTCGGCGGTTATGTCGCGGGATTGTGCGATATGATGCGTTCGCAGAATGCACTAGTAAAGTGAACCCTCACAACTACAAAGAGGCTTGTGAGGTGGATGCAAGAAGCTGTTCAGGCACACGATGTCATTGCGCAGCTTATCGAGCTTACGCACGTGAGTGTTCAAGACTTGGTGCTGAACCACGAAACTGGGCGAGAACTGCATGGTGCGAAGGACCTCCACCACCATGGTTGATTCGGCATCGTAAAGGTCCCAAACGTCCAGTGATTACGAAAGACACGAGCTTGCTTGATCCAAGCGTGATTCCAAAACCGAATAATAGTCGCTCTCGGCCTCCGCCACCCATACTTCATTTGTAAAATATTTGTGGCAATGCTTCTACTAGTCAAAAGCCAGTGTAGCGACGAGAGGTAAGCATAAAAATGATTACTAAGTATAGCAAACATACCAAAACAAAACAATCTCTTGCTCAGTTTCTTAATCTTTCGACGTTTTAAAAGTTAATGCACTCGCGTAGACAGAATATTATAAATTATGTTTTTGGAAATCTTAAATACCATAGTTTTCTAGAGATAGCTTATACTTTAAGATGACTCATAATATATTAAGGGATTATTGAAGCCCAAAATCGATCTAAGTGGCGTGCAATGGGAGAGGCCTATGTCCAGCAGTGGACTGCGATAGGCTGATGATGAACACTGATAATTAAAATGTATATATATTTATATAATATTATAATTATTTGCTATAGTACGGTATACTGCGCTAAAACTTTCAATTACACGAAGGGGAACAAGCTAGAACGAGCATTGAGGCTCTTTACGAGTATGTTGAGCTCACTAAGTGATATTCTTTGACGTCAATGTCGTTTAAACAAGGTTGTTTGTAAAGATTTTAGTATTAAAGACATGTTACCTAATTCGTAACATTTCTTTAATACTCAAATATAATGTTTTGCATTTTTATTATATACGGCTGCGTTATTACCACTGAAGATAAGGTCTACATCGTAATAAATATAAATTATTAAGTCCAATTAATAGTATGTTAAATTTGTTTCAGAGTATTATGAATATTTCGCAACTGGATTGTACGTAGGTTGTGTCTAAAAGACACAGCCAGCTTTAATGGAATGAAGATCTATCTACTTAAACAGTATTCATAAAACTATTTCTAGTTAGGTAAACAAGAATATTATAACTAAGGCCACCTGTATAGCTCACTATTGCCTCGCCAATGCCGACCAGCATCCTCAATCCTTTACAATTTATAATCCTAATTTGGGTTGATTTGAATACATTACATTAATATAATATATACCCATATATTTGCTGTAAACTCAATCCACCTTATTACAAAACGTCGACTAAAGAAAGTATCCCCTAATTTCAAATCATTCCAATACAATGATAAATATTATTTTGTAAATCCCCGTTTTGTAATAAGACAGGTTATGTCATACGTTAATGTTGTGCATTCTCTTCGCTGGTTGTTTATATGTGATAGGCAAGCACTATGTTTTTGTTTATAAAAATAAATTAGTAATTTATTGCATTATAATATTAAACGTTTCTGAAAAAATGTGATATAATTAGCTTTGAATATTCAGGCAAGTGAGGGACGTTTGGTAAAACATAGTTCAAATTAAGATCTCATCTGTAGGTAGTTCTTTACGAAATCTTAGATAAATCTAGCTATGCGAAGCCAAGATGCTAAAGAGATTGTGGAGATATGTATAGATGTACATATATACATACATACATAACAAGATCCATTGTACTATAACATTAAGATGAATAGCTATTATGTTTTAATCGAAGACTCTTTGTAAAGCTTAGTTGTTAAATACGTTACCAATGAATTTTTATTATTTGACTATGACGTACGTTAAATAATTATATAGCTAAAGAAATGTTTCAAGTGTAATTTTGAGCACTTCGAGATTTGTACCCAATATTACAAATATACACAGCAGTGAGTACATAGCACAGCATCTAGTTTTGGATGTCGAGACGATGACAGTAAGTAGGTAGGTACTTCATACAGGCAAGAAGCCATTTGACTGTGAGACGTGGTTTTAAGTTGCAACTGTGTGTATTTGTAATAATAATAAAATATATTATAAGGTATTAATTGAGAACAGTTCTGGCGAATACGTGACATCGAATCAATCGTTCATTTGAATGCGCTAAGTGCCATTGAAAGGCGGCTAAATTCTACTAAATTGTGATAATGAAATCATTCAACGCCTTTTAGTTATACATTTATATGTACTTTAATCTATATTTATATATAACATGCTTTGGAACAATTCCGATGATGTGAAATCTCGTAAATATTACTATGAGCTCGATTGGTTCAGGTAAGCCATGGGTGATCGAACATGCGAATGAGAAAACAAACTTTCTTGAGTGGCTCATGGCCGGAATTGCTCTAATGCTCTTTGTGAATTTCCCTCAAATTATGCACGTCGTTAAATGATATATATAATTATACTCCAGGATATTGTATATAGGATGCTTTGTTCTTAGTATACTCGTACTTATAGAAGTCTTAATGTTGTCTTGTGAACATGTTACGTAACATGACAATCCATAATATATTTCACGATGAACTTATTTATTTAGTCAATGTAGCCTGTTGTAAAAAGCCGCTAAACATGATTCTCTCTACACATATTTTAATCTGATTATAACTTTCCAAGACTTCATAACTATTACGTACTACTTATTTTGTATTATTAAGCAGGGTCTACGTTTTATGTAGGCTTTTAAGTTATTTAAGAGATTTATTTTGATATAATGATTTCGGTAAGTCATTTTTATGTTCAGTAATTTTGTCTAATTTGTTACTGGACGTAGGTACCTACAATGTGAATGAGTACAGTGAATAATAATAATAATTATAATGTTATATTTTTTCTGTAAACTGTGTACGTAAATAGATGAACTGAGGCGCGCGATTTCTGCTTCACGACCCTCATTTACGAAGCATAATGTACACAATTAAAAATTAAATACGAAATAGTACGAAATTAAAAAAGAAAATCTAATTAATTCTATTTTGAATTTAAATTTTTCGTTCTTTCGACGTAGTAGGTACAGAGATATGAAAGCCATAAAAACTATTGTTTTACGTTTGTGTCAAAGAATATAGTAGAAATTAGAATGTATTATTTGTAAATGTGTCATAAAATCGTAAATAATCCTCATTTTGTGCGTATATTTTACACTACTGTCCCAAGATATGAAAACGTTATAAATATTTTCAAATACTTGGTGATCCTGATTATATAAAATGATGAACAAAGAGTTACGTAATAAATAATTTTTAGTATTATAACTGTGTTTTAATCTACCTCTGAGATTCTTATCATTAAAACCGCAAAGCTATATCGTTATAACTACTATGTTATCTTCAGCAGACCCATTACTTGTTTCTGGCTGACCGCCAAATCCTAAAGTTTTATGTCATCAACATTATCTAGGACAATTTGGCGTTCGCTTTAAAAACAGAGGAGTCATTATATTTATCTTGAATAGAAATCTTAAGAAATGAAAATGATATCTCAACATTCCCGACACGAATATTATTTTAAGAATTAGGCGTTCTTACACCACGTTGCGTTCTAAATCTGGCGGTTGTAGCTGTTTCGCAGATCTCATTCAAACATAGGTAATAGAATAAAAGATTTATTAATAAAGTAAATATAAACATTATACGCAATCACACATCAATTAAACAAGAACAAAATATTATTTTGTACAATACATACATAGTACTTTTAATGATATTGACGAATGAAACATATGTGATGTTTTATTTAAAATAAAAAATGATCTTGTCCAATTTTACCATGATATCAAAGTTGAAGTACCAAAATATAGATGCCTTAGATTAAGTAGATCATATAAATATATAAAAGTCAGTGGATATAAATATTTATTCTCCTGTCATCATCTCCATGAATTCTGAAACAAACATATTAAATCGTTAAACATATTAAAAAATAGGTCAGAGTGAGTGTGAAGATTGTCTATTGAAATAACTATTTTTAAAGGGCTCAATATTGTTTATAAATTGGCTTATGTCCATATCCATGGCAAACAAGTCAATGTTAAAATTACTTTCAAATAGATTCACTGTTACTTCAATACGATTTATAAAATTGTAATCAAAAATGAAAAAGTTAAAAATAACAAGATTTTGAATTATTTTAATCAATGTGGTGGTTTCAGTGGCTATTTTCGTATTTTACATTGGTATTTTATGTACTATTCCTGCAAAGTTAAGAGTTTTAATGTTTTACCATCGAAGTCTACGGTGCCGCTGCCGTCGGTATCGATTTCTTGAATGAGTCCATCGAGTTCATCTTCTGTCAGTTGCTCGTCCAACTCGCGAAGGATCTCGCGTAAGCTTGACGTGGGAATGTAACCATTGCCTGGAAATATAATAATAGAACTTGTTGCCACATTATGTATATAAACATTAGTTCACGTTAGGGGCGTATGCCCTTTAGGTACGGTAAAAATATCTAAGAAGTAAATTGTTTTCAGGACTGCCTTAGACAATGCGTTTAATTTTTATGCGGGTAACATTGAACATTGACAAGTTCATCGCACTTAGCCATTAATTTATAATTGGATTGGCATTAGCTTACAACCGCCGCTTCTCATATAAATGGGAGCTACTTTAAACAATCATGTTTTATTGGCCATGTGGCACTGACATGTACATACAATTCATAACACTAATTTATTTCTTATGGTTAATGGATTGAGTTGAAATTATAATAACATTGATATTAGTAATGATCTAATGTTTTATATCTCACCTTCTTTGTCGTATAATCTGAAAGCTTCCCTAAGTTCCTTCTGCATGGCTTCTGCATCCTCTTCAACGATGAACTTGGCGGCTAGCGTCACAAACTCACCGAACTCTAGACGGCCAGACTCTGAAAATATCCGCATAATAACTCGTGTTGTTTATAAATATTTTATACATAAAAAAAGGTGTGAAGTATTTTAATCGTTATATTTTTATTTTAATGAGCACTAAGTGCCAACGTCTGTTAATAGATAGTTGCATGATTTGGGCCCTATATACCTAAGTATATTTAGAATAGAATAAGTTTTTTACTTTGGATTTATATAGAAAGGTGTTAACAAATGCTCTATAGAAAAAAATATGAAAGTCATTATTTAAATGCGTTGAAATCGGTTTTCCTACTTCAAAAGACAAGTTGTTTCTTTTTTCAAGCTCTGGATTATTTTAGGGGAACAACAGAACTTATTAAAGAAAAACATAAACTCATATAAACTTACTGTCGGCATCAACCTCCTCGATGAGTTCTTCGAGAATTTTTTTGTTAAAGGGCTGCCCCATCATCCGAAGGATATCTGCGACGAAGTCACATGGGATGCTGCCCGAGCGGTTGTGGTCGAAGCCATCGAACGCCTTGCGAAGGACTGGAACAAACAAAACTTGCCTTAACGAAGATTTTACACGTTACATAACCAAAACTACAATACTTTTTTGTCTTCACCTTCGATATTTAGCGTATGATGGGCCATAATTTATTTAGCTTACAATAGGCAAGACTTATTCTTATATTTTAGTTGAAAAATGGTTTTTGCGAATAGAGAAATGCAGTGTTGCACTGGCAATAAAACTAGTGAAACTGATCGTTCGTCTAGGTGGTTAGCGATGAGATTAGGACATCGGTTCAATGCACTGAGATGCGGTGCGAATAAGTTGTGCAATGCAGCTATTTCGGTGCAGGAGCATGGTGCATCGAGCAGCGGGCGGCCGCGATACCGCGCTCACCGCGTGGCGAGTCTTTCGGACATAGGACAACAATAAATAACAAAAACAACGATGAAATATTAAATCCCATAAGGTACCCTTCAATGATCGACGACGACGGGTCTACGGGACTAATTAATCCCACACGCCCACTACTACTTTTGTTTACCAGGATCAACAGCAGTGACCTAATTTATTAAGCAGCAAAGAAATTAATCAGAAGAAAATTGGAGGAGTTGGAATTATAATAAATCCACTTCCCTCATTGCTAAAGCCGGAGATAAAATGAACTAAAAATTGGCATACACGCTTTTAAACGGGAAAGCACCACGCCATTATGGGTTAAGGGTCCTAAATGAACTATATTTGATTTCTATAATGTGTATGGCCGGATCGCCTAATCGCACGGAAATGCACCCTAGTTGACACAAAAACCTCATAGTATACCGCCCCAGATGTCACCTACCTATACAGTATTATACAGCATTCATTGTACCAAGGACTACATTCCCAGAAGATATGATGAGCAGACTGTTTACAGTTAGAGTCAGGTGTTGAGAATTGACACAATGGTGACTAGACTATTTTACACAAATGCAGTTTGCCTTTGACGCAGAATGACCGAGTCTTAATTTAGTTATGTCTTGTGAAAAGTACAACGAGATAAGGAAATTAATATTTTTAAAGCACCCTCGTGATTACAATTTAAGCAATTGCATGGGGCACCATGCGTTGTCGAAGGCGCCAAATATATCTAAAAAACTAGCCAACATGTATTGAAATTATGACTCGGTGACGATCTTCCTAACAGATATAACCGCATCTAAATTGTCTATCACATTGATATAATACTTACATAGATAAGTAATTACCGCCTAAAATCGTTGCTACTGCACATCTGTCCACAGGCATATGCGTAGCAAACGTCAATTCAGTGTTCAATGTGGCGTCAACCGAGTTGAACATAGCGACACATGACAGTAACAATCGTCAAAATGGGTAAATGCGTAGTGAAAGAATGCGATTCAAGGTCACAAAACCATTATAAATCATGCGGAATTACTTATCACGTGTAAGTTTATGGTTTTTGTATTGATAATATAATTGAAATAAAACATTGATAATTGTAATTTAGAATCAGTGTTACCATTAAAAAATCATTTTTGTTTTCTACATTAGTGGGAGAATTTATAATTTATGAAATAATATGCTTTATACTGTTTTTAAACATTTTGTCAATAATAATTAAATATAGGAAGAACGGTAGTTGTTAGGGCTGGATCGATCACTTTTTTTAGGGACCCGTTGAACGTTCACCTTCTGCCAAGCTCGCAGTGCTGGAGACTTTTGTATAAAAGAATTAATTAATTCATTCATTCATTTTTCTCAATTAATTATCAAATATAAATAATAATTGTACAAAAAAAATATATATATAAAATAAAAAAGTAAATAAATATAAATAAAAAAATATAAAAAACAAAAAATATATATATTTGTTATATTTTTTTTTATTTGTATTTTAAAATATTAAAAGAATTTGCAATACACCCTGGGGATTATTTATTATCAGTACAAGTTGATCATTCACTTTTACTATTAAATGCCATAATTTATACATAGGTAAAAACAAGATTGTATCATGAAAGTAAAATATTCACACAAACTTATAAAAAAGAGTCTAAAAGTCAATTGTATACAAAACTGATGCTTCATAGCGGAGTTTGATTTTACACTGAATATAAACCCTTTTAACCAAATATTTCTTGTTATTTTATTATTTATACCTATTCCATTCAATTCGAAATGTATTATTTAAAATATTTAAATTATTTTTTTTATTACAAAATTGTTTTAAAAAAAAATTGTTTCTTGGTTGTTATGGGTAAAATTTCATAGGGTAGTCAACACTGGCCCACCATCGTAACGTTATGTCTTTGTCTTTGTCTTTGTCTAATCCGAGCGATGGTATTGTTCTTGTCTCGCGTGTAAATGAGACATAAATATGTTTACTTTCAAATGTTTAGTGGTATCAAAGCTACGTCGTCAAAGTTCAAAAGTGGTTACACTTTTTTCGACGTGTGATAATGAGGTTTGCTTCTCTAGTGTTGTTTTAACTCAATGGTCTATCATGAAACTTAACTTCACCCGGCAGAAGCTGGGGTACTACAAGACGCTCTAAAAGGTCTCCTAACGATGGTAACAATGTGATTTTGGTATTGTAAGATTATTACTGAACCGCCAAAACACGAGGCAATGTTCTTTCTGCAATGCGACGTTTAACAGTCAAAATTGTGCCAGCCGAAAGTTTACAAGATTCTTTTATTATTATGTTTGATATTTTATCATCGCCCGAAGCCTTGTGTTGTTTCGCGGCAAAAAGCGGTTCTATGAACCTTCCTAATTTTTGTCCCCGGTTTTAATTGGAGAGGTTTTATAAGTTTAACATCAGATCCTGTGTATCTATCTGTGTCATCCTTATCATCTATTTTGATTTACTTCTTGGAAGGAGGAAAGGGATTTTTGGGCCTTGGAAATTTTAATTTTGGAATTTATTCTTACTTGTATTTTGTTAGTACTTAATTGTGAAGCGATTTAAAATAGCTATATAGATTTGTGCTATCTTTACAATAATATTTATATGGTAACAAAAGTTTTCTAGTAAAATACCTACGGAATACGAAGGGAAAATAATAAAACACTTACTAACATAGCCTACATATTCCTAAACTACACTTATTTTTAATAAGCATCTAACTTGAAATATAGAAATTGTCTTAACATTTTTGTGCGTTATATAATCGACATAATTGAATTCATTACAAATAATTTATCTAACTGTTTATGTTCAATGCCAACTCTGTTAAAGGGATGTGTAATATAAAAAAAACGCGAACTCGCTGAGCAGTAAATCTCAATTCATCTTTCCATCATTAATGTTTATATTTACTTTAGTACTGCGCTTGCATAAATTGCTTACGTTCTTTACACTAAAATATTTCTTGACACGTAAACCTTGGTTATGACCCTAAACTATATTTAAATTATTTAATCTGGACATGAAATACTGTCCGACATGTTTAGAGTGTACCTCACGATAAAGTAATATACATTTCCTATGACTAAACATCTATAATAAATTCTTCATAATAATTTTCTTGACTTTTAGTTTGATAGCCGTAATAACGAACGTGCGTCACCATGATTTTATTTAAATATATAAAATCTTATGAAGCTCTCGTAAATAAACTCTTTCAATGTTTTAATGACCCGTCTGAGTGATAAAATGTGAAGGTAATTTTCAGTCCAGCTTTTAATATCTGGTGTTAAAAGTTTGTTAAAGTCTATATCTGTCACTTCAAAGTAAACAATGACATTAGAATACCGGTGATCTACACTTATAGGTAAATAACAAATTTAAAAAGTACATTTGATATTTTTCAACACTTTGTTTATAAATTAGCCTGGCTTTGCTCGTATATTTAAATACCTACCTAAATAAAAATAGCCGAAGTACATATAAAGGTATACAGACAAAAATGTTAAAAATAATTTGTGGCATTTGTTAGGCATATGTTTCCTAAAAAAACATATTTTGACATTTTAAAAATATATTTCAATTTTATTTACATACACAACATTATGCATATTCTATTTTCTTTGTAATGAAAAGTCCACGAAGGACATGATAAAGCAGTTAGTTTTTTTAGCAAAGGCGATCGAGTTTGCATACATGCTACTGGAACACATGCCAGACTCGTGTGACCCTTTTTTACCATAAAGAAAAGTAAAAAAAGTCATTTCAAGAAGGCCGATATTTAGGAAATTGAATAAAAACATCACACCGACGCATCAATGATTTTAATTTTACTATTTAAATTCCTTTAACTTTGTTTAGTCTGTTTCAGTATGCGATATAAGACAATTGATTTTCAATCTACTCACAGTGAATTATTAATTGTCTAAATAATGAATTCTTGAATTTGTATACTCCCTTAGAGAATTTCTTCAATGTTTTCATCCTATTATGTTGAGTTGCGATATAAGTCACGCATGCTTGCAGTGTGCTGCCTCGACGGTTAAGATTAATAAACATCCGTTATAGATATGAATGAATGAATGCGGTATACTGGCAACAATATTTCTAATCTACCTATCTATCTACTTGGCCCAATCCAATGATATTAAACGCTAGTTGAAAACGAACCAGCAGTGTGGTTAATCACATAAACAAAACGACATCGTAAATCTTAACTGAAAAACAAAATCTTAATCTTCTAAAGAATAGTACGTCGGTTTCAATTATGCAGTTGGAATAAGAACGGCAAAATATGTTTCTTAACTTCACTTTAAAGTAATTTATATCTAACTGTGTAACGATTTTAAGCGCTAGTCAGGAACGCAGCATCAGTAGGTTAGTCACATAAACATCTTAATCTTCTAAAGAATAGTATGACTGTTTCAATTATAAACTTAGGATAAAAATGACAGAATATGCATGTCAACTTGAGTTTAATATTCATTGCGACGGGTAATAAATCTAACTCTGTGGACAGTTTCACATTTCACCGGAATAAGTTTCCTGTATAATACAGTTTTGTGACAGGCGCTATTAGAATCGAGGACTGGGGCGACTGTAAAACATTTTATAATCTCCTAATTGCCGTTACGCGTTAAAAATGATGTCTATAATATTTTTACAAGCAACAGACCGCGATATCACAGCATCGCACAACATTGTGCAGCTGTTCTGTGATATTTGGCAACAAGATAGTTTTAAAAACACGATTTTTATTTTCGCTGCCGTTAATTTTAATAGTCAAGACTTCTTGGCAGTTGTCACAAAGCCCCATGAGTTTTATTGCATTTTCTCATAGATTTTAGCTGTTTATTAATTAGCCACCTACGAACGTGGTTTTCGAAATCGCTATAAATTTCCTATAACGCTACTGCAAACTGCTGCAAAGATGCTGATACCAATTTAGCAGAGGCTAGCTTGGTTTGATTGAAACCAAAATTCTGGTATACTCTAAAACTACGTAAACCGCTTACCATCA